TCACTGGACCATGCCATTTTTCCTCACTTGTCCTCGATCGAGTGGGAGGCGTTGCAATTGTCTCGCCGCTGCATCCGGCGACGCTGTCATCCAGACATTGTTGACGGCCGGCACTGAGAACCAACAGCGCCTGGCCGCCCAGGAGTTCATGGCGCATGAACTCGCTGACCTCCGTCAGCGAGTGTCGACTCCCACGCCGCCCAAAAACAGGACCGACATCGTCAAGCTCGACGTCTCCACCTACAACGGTGAGGGCGACGATCCCCTTCACTTGAACCGATGGTTCTGCGAGGTGGACATCGCTGTTGATGCTCGGCAGTTGTCCACCGAGCTTGCAAGGACTAGGTTCCTTCTCTCCAAGTTGGCGAAAGAGTGGGCACTCGGAAAACTTGTCGCCGACGCCTTCTGCTTTCCCACGATGGCGTTCATGAAGGCTGACCTCCGACTCGCGTTCGAGCCGCCTCAAGATGAGAACGTCCAGCGGTCCGCTTTCCTGTCGCTGAAGCAGGGACGCACGTCCATGCTCGAGTATATCCAACGCACTCGTCACCTTATCTCGTGCATCACGACCTAGTGGACATGGCGACTCAAGTCCACGTCTTCGCCTCGGAAATGAAAGCCGGCTACCAGCGTTTCTACTTGCCGCGGAAACCCCCGAACACGCTCGAAGAGGTCTTCGCGGTTGAGTTACGCGAAGACTACAGCGTCACGGCATCGCAAGCGTTCGATGTCTCGAGGCCTTTGGCTCACGAACCCGATCTGGAACCCATGGAGGTGAATGCGATCCAGCGCTATGGCAGCCGTCAGGAGCAGACGTCATCCAATTCATCCGGCTTTTCGGCTCGCACGCCTCGCCCTCTGCGTTGCTTTCGATGCAAGAAACTTGTTGTGGCGCATGTTACAACCCAGCACGACGTCGCCGTTGCCACCCCAGCAAAAAACGGCGACGACCAGTAGGCGCGGGGCACCCTACTGGTTCCGGAACGGGGGATGGTTCTATGGTGGCGGAACCTCCTCCTCGCCCTCCTATGCTTCGCGCACACCTACCAGCCACCACCTCCGGCAGTGATTCAAGACTAATCGTGCTCAGTCTCCACGTTGAGGGAGCCCAGCGTCCCATACGTGCTCTGCTGGATTCGGGCGCGAGGAACAATTTCGTTCGCGCCAAGAGTTTGTCGGTGTTACCGGCGGACATGCCCGTACGTGAAGATCCTGGCGATATGGTCGTCAAGTACGCAGACGGCAAGCCACGGCGACTTCCGTGGCGCTTGGTCACCTTCTCCTACGAGTTCGATGGATTCCAGGGAACGGATGACTTTCTGGTGATTGAGTTGAGTGGCTCCTTTGACTGTGTGTTCGGGATCCCGTGGCTCGCTCGTCACCAACCTCACATTAACTGGCTCACCCGAACTTTCC